ATATAAGCTTTTGTAGTTGCACATGTTCTTTTGGATAGTCAAAGTGTTCATTTACAACCATTGTCATCAACTTTTGGCAGAAATGCATGGTTTTTACTTTGTGCCACAGTGCATGTGTAGTTGGCTAGAATCATGTTTTTTAGTTGGCCAGAAAGTGCGTATTAGTCGTTTTTGCTTATCACATCATGGTCAGTTACAGACATTTTTACTTTTTATTATTTTTTCTAACTGAATCAGTACTGAATCTTTTTTGTGTTGATGCAGAAAAAGGCAAAAATTGCGAAAGTGGTCAATGAGCTATGCAAGGCTGTAACTGAACAGGTTGGCACCTTCATTGAAGAAGTTGCCAAGATTGATGACGAGGAACCAGATATTGATCCTTACGTACAGCAGCCATCAATGCAAACTGGGGCATCACGCCGTGCTCCAAAAAGAAAGAGACGGCGGTCAACTATACAAGAAGAAGAAGAATTTGTTGAGGATGATTCAGAAGAAGATGAGGAAATGGGAGCAGCGATAGATGCTGACGATGATGAGGAGACAGATGCGGATGAATCAGAGGAGGAGGACAAGGATGAGGATGACAATGAAGAAGATGCAGAGGATGAGGAGGATGAGGAGGAAGAGGAGGAGGAGGAGGAGGAGGAGGACAAACAAGAAGAGGACAAAGGAGAGGAGGAGAACAAGGAAGAAGATAGTGATGCAGAGGAGGAGGAAGAAGAAGGTGAGGCCAGAGAGGGGGACGGGGACAAAGGGGCAGCAGTTGATGGCAGTGAGAGGGGAGAAGGCAAAGGCGCAGCAGCTGATGGCAGTGAGAGGGAAGAAGACGAGGATGAAGAAGACGAGGATGATTATGGTGATGATAAAGGGGGATCCAATGGAGGCAGCGACAGCAGCGATGACGATGATGATGACAACGCTCCTGGTTCTGGTGGTACAGGTGGCAACACATCCAGGAGGACTAGCATTCACGCCACCCCTGCGAGCAGCAGCAATTCATTGAGTAGCAGGAGCACACTACAGTTGTTGATTGACAAGACTTGCTGGAAAGACAAGGATTTGCCAAAGTCAAAGAAAAATGACGAAGCAGAGTCTCAGGGAAGCATTGATATGTTCAAGCTCTGCAACTTGAAGCCAGCTTTGTCAACCACCTTTCCCGTGCCAGATTTCAGCGACAAAGATATGTGTGAGAAGATCAATTTTGCCATTGACAAGAGCCTGTTCTTATCAACTAAAGCTGAAAAGAATCAAATTGACATGGAGGAAGCAGGAAAGGGTCTTGACTGGGTTCATTCAAAGGAAAAATACAAGGAATATTTAAAGCAGCTCCCAGACCTAAGCTCTAGCAAGAGCAAGGCAGCATCCACGGCAAACCCTTACGTGGTCCAGAAGTGTAAAGCAGTTTCAATGAAGAAGAATCTGCAGTTGCCTCAAACCAAGGAGAAGATGGTGAGTGAAGATGCTGAAGTAAATATGGTCAAGGAAGTTGTGCTTCAAACTGATATGCCAACAGTAGTGAGCAGAGAGCCAACCAATGTCAGAGAAGTTCAACAGATCAAGGGGAAGACTCCGCTTTCAACAGTCCCACCAAAACCACCTAAGCAGAAGATTGTCAAGTTTGCCAGGGGCGCAAAGGGGGAACAGGCCACAAAAGATTCGGGGTTCAGAGACGAGAGAGAGCTGCGAGCCGCAGCCATTGATGCAGGGGTGCCAAGCTCTGCCAGGTTGCTGCCAACTCAGACTGGAAAGATGCCAACTACAGATACCAGTGTGCCAACTGATGTGTCAGTTAGCAGTATGGTCACAGTCAAAACCACCACAGCTGGTCAGGAAGGCACCACTGCAACTGCAAGTCCCAAGGTGCCTACTGATAGAGATGCTTCAATGCCAAACACAAAAGGAGGTGATCCAACTATCAAAGTGTCGTCCTCAAGAGTTGTCTTTCAGCAACCATTAACACAAGAGGAGGTGTTCGACATTATAAGTAGGTGCAAGCCTCCAAGGCCGCCAACTACAACACCATTGCGAACCAAGTCAGTGAATGATGCACCCATGTTTGTGCCGCAAGGAGATGCCCTGGTCCTTGAACCCTTATGAAGATCAAACTCTTATCATGATGATGGGTTCTGCGATGCACCATCTTTTGACCTCGGCATAGATGGTGATGCTCCAGTAGTAGATACAGCGAAAGCCGGTGTGATTAGCATCGATGAGTGTGAGTTAGACCCAGCAGCTGTGAATGAAGGATGTGATGTTGCTGATGTTGGCAAGGCAATAGCTCAAGAACTAGATGTTGGTTTACCAGAGAATTGCCACACCCCAATATGCGCAGAACCAGAACTTGGCACGAGCAGTTCTTCGGGGCCACCTCTTGCACGAAGACAGAGGAGGGTAAGAAGGCCCGCAGCATCTCAAAGGTCTCCATTCATCGACTACAACAAGAACAAGACTTTCAGCACCAATGAGGTAGTGAACAAGCTTTACGCTGCCCTCTTGTATTGGGTCAGGCATCACAAAGGAGCAAATGATGGAGCTACCAGGTAAACTAACTCCCCACAGCCTACATACATATCTTTTTCAGTTGCATAGCACCAGCCACTTAGTTGCACAGAAAGCATAGTATGTTGCACAGAACAGGGCTTTTAGTTGCACACTGTTCTTTTTTCATTTTCATGCACATTTTTTTTGCTGCTGTGACCCTTCGAGCTAACTTGTCTTTTTATTGCTTTCAAAAAAAATCAGCCCTGAGATAATTAGGTATGGTGCTTTCTACATTTCTTTAAAGGAGTTAGTTGATTCGATGAAGCCGGTTCAATGGTTGTCAAAAATTGTTATTGAGACTGGAATCTTACACATCATGGATAACTTACCAGAAGGGTCAAAGAAGGTTGTTATGCCACTGAGGTTTTCTGTAAGTTTTTCCAAAACCTTCTTTTTACCCTCATCTTTGTTCTGTAGCACTTTTCGTTGACCATTTGAGGGAGGCCTTTCACCTACTAAGGAGTTTTGAGCCATGTTTTAGTTGCACATTTATGAATTTTTCGTTGCACATGTTCAACAAAGCATTGGGCAGTCAATTTTTTGTTCATTTTGCAAATAATAACTAGAAGTTGGCTTTAATCATGTTTTAATTGGCCAGATAACTCGTTTTTAGTTGGCTTGTTTTAACACATCCAGGTGGTAGTTTTTGGCATGTTTAACACATCCAGCATGTTTAACATCTGGTGTGATGTGCCAGATTCACCTCTTTTTTGAAGCAGATTCTCCATGGATCCATGAAGAAGGGGGAAGTGAAGAGGTGCAGAGGGGGCTTACCTGCTCGATCTTACTGCCTGGTATGGCTCTGACCACCCTGCCCTTTAGATCTTGAAGCAGCTCCTTCTACTTTGGGGCTCCCATGGCGGCTGTGTAGGAGGAGGAAGAAGGGCTGGGGGCGATTGCGTTTGGATCTGTTTCTGGCGTGCAGAAGAAGAAGAAGGCAGCGTTGGTGGGGCTGAGGCGTGGGGGCGAGAGATGGAGTGGATTCTGCAACCTGGGCAGATCCTCCTTCTTTCGTGAGGAAGAAGAAGATAGCCAGGGCGTAGTTTGGCGAGGAGGGTGCACGTGATCCCGCGGGGCATGGTTTGGCGAGGAGGGTGCACGTGATCCCGCGGCCAGCTGGTGGGCGGGGCAGTTGCCTTTTTCGCTCCGACGGGTAGGGACCACGTGGGCGAGTGGGCGAGTGGGGGACTGTTTCCTCTTTTCGCTCGAGGGGGGACCAGGTGGTTTTTTTTTTCGGGTGGCCGCTGGCTAGCGATCCCAGGGCGGCCGGCCGCCCACTAGACGCGTCCTTAGTTCATAGCTAGATTTTGTACTATTTTTTGGTTAGAGTTAGTTCTGGGTTAGAATCTAACTCTAACCTCTAACCGAGTTAGAGTATCCAAACAGGGCCGAAGAGTAGGGAGGTCGGCCGCGACCTAGGAGCTCGGCGGCGCCGACCACCACGAGCATCGGCGGCTGCGCAGGTGTCGTTTCTCCCCGTTCCCTCTTCCTCTGCCCCACCCCAGTACCGCGTCCCATCCCCGTACCGCGCCGCATCCCATCCCCGTACCACATCCCATCCCAGCGCCGGTCGGCGACCAAGATGGAGGTCTGCGGCGGCCCGGGACCTCTAGCCCGCGCCCCCCTCTGGATCAGCCGCGCCCCCCTCTGGATCAGCCGCGCCCTGACCCCCTGGATCCACGTCCCCCTATGCCATGCCCCTCCGTCCTCCTGTACACCCCCTCTTTCTGCACCATGCTTGACAGAGCTGCAGCTCCTCTGCTTCTCTACTCCATGTCCGCTCCCTGTATGAATTCTTCTACTCTTCCAGCATGGCCATAGCCTACCTCCTCTTCTCCTTCTCCCTCCATATCCCTCTCTGATTAGCTAATTTTATAATGTTTACATCAGATGTTAGTACCAAAGTTCAGCCATTAAAATATTTTTGCCGAGATGTCTGATTTCATAATCAAGAGAATGTAGACAAGTGTTCAGTATGGGTATTAAGTTTCCTGCCATGTCTCATAAAGTTTATTGTTTCGAATTTGAGAGTACGTGTTGTTTGTTAATTCCAAAGTTTGTCATCCAAACATGATCTGGTATTGAAATCTCGGAGGCATTTCAAGGGCCAATTCACTGGACAACCAAACAGGTGAATTCGTATTCGTGCCATTTCATTTCCTCACTGATTTGGAATTCAGACCAATTCAATACGGAGCTCTCCAATGGAGACATCCAAATGAAGCGTTAGGCTATCGTTTATTCGTCTGTGGTAGCATAAATAAATCACTGAATGTCTTGTTGTTTACAGTTTATGCAAAGCCATTGTTGTTTACAGTTTATGTAAATCCATTGTTGTTTACATGATAGTTATTAATGACAACATTCAGAATTGAAATGTGTTCTTCTTTAGCTTGGCCGCCCAGCAATTTGTTTATAGCTCCGCCACTGATTAAGGGGCTTTCATTCCTCTCGCAGCCATGCTTGGCCATCTCCGGCGATCCTCCGGCATTCTGCGCCGCCTACCGATCGCCAGCTTCGCTCCCTCCGACCCTGCCACTGCATACTCGTGAGATTTGCTCCCTTTTATCCAATCCGCTGTCAAAACGTTCCCTTACTTTAAAAGCATCCTTGCTCCTTATCGGTTAGCTGGTGGCGTTCTTGCTCCATTTCTGGTGCAATATTACACTTTTCTAAATTTGAGTGGCACAATTATAAGCTTATAGCACGTGAGTTAAGCTTTCTGCTTGCTTCACTGCCTCTAATTCCATTCCATGACAAGATAACTTTTGAGAAAGTAAAACTTTTTTCACCTCTGACTTCTCCAAATAATATTGTCTGCATTGTGCAGGGGATGGAGTTTACACGCCGAGTCACTCTCGTTTGTTTCATGCAAGACCTTTCTTTCACTTCGCCATATTGAATCACCCTTCATTTTCTTCTAGATGATTGGCGCCTTTGATGAAATATCAATCCATGGCAGGTTGGTGCGGCAAGCATGCTACCAGGAATTTCTCTACAGATGATAAAGTTACCAATGGTCGTCGAGGGTATCGGCAAAAGGAGTTGAAGAAGCCAAGTACGGCCGTGAAGGTATTTCGACAGAGTTTAGCCCTGTGCTTCACATGTGGCCTTACACTTTTTTATAGCCTCATGCTGTTAATCCCAAGAATATGATGGACAACAGGTTAAGTAATTTGATTTTGCTTCACAGGATAATGATGCAATCATTGATCGCATACAAAAGAGCACAAGGGGGTTGAAAAAAGGGCCGGTTGGGCACACCCTTTCATCAGCAGAAAAAAGGAAATTCCTTACCAACACTGTATGTCATTACATAAAGATAGTCTTAATATTATCTTTTCTGTCTTTTGAGTTTATCATGCGTCAACGGTACTTATACTTTAGCTGGTGCCTGTAGAGCTCCGAATCACATGTTCGCATAATTTAAAGGATTGTATGTAATAACTAACAATCAAAATGTTGTTGCAGAAGTGCAATTTCACTTGTTATATACCAAATATGAACTATAAAAAGTTTTCTTGCGCCTTCAAGGCAAGTAATGAGCTTGCACTATGTAATCAACTAGCAACTGTTGTCCCTAAAAACTTTTAGTAGCTTATTCATTGCAATATGCTTAGTTGTTTACAAGTAAGTAGGTTTTACCAAACATTATCTTGGTTTCAACAACGGAATGACTTATCATATGCAGCTTAGCATGCAGTACTGGGTACACAAAAATAGCACTTTGGGCTAGAGTAGGAAATTTTGGGATTCACCTCAGTACACAAATTGCAGCCTTTATTTATGTAGAGAACACAGTATGGATAAGATGTGAAACCCAACTAGAGATTTTATTTATTGCTGGCAGTTAGCCACCGGAACAAATTAATTAACTACTGTTATCTCTAAATTGCAGCTTCTTGATCTTGAAGACTCAAAAGAAGCTGTTTACAGCACCCTTGATGCATGGATCGCCTTTGAGCAGGACTTTCCACTCGCCTCATTAAAGCAAGCAATTGTAGCTCTTGAAAAGGAGGAACAATGGCATAGAATTGTCCAAGTATTGCAGATTATAATTTAATTTATTTTTATTGAATTTATCTTTTATACAGTATGAATTAAATTTCTGCCAACTATAAACTTAGGTAATAAAATGGATGTTGAGCAAAGGGCAAGGAAATACCATCAGAACATACGAGCAATTAGTGCGTGCACTTGAGAAGGACAACAGAGCAGAGGAAGCACATAAAATTTGGGAGAAGAAAATAGCCCATGACCTGCATTCAGTTCCTTGGCGTTTCTGCGGTCTTATGTTGGCAATTTACTACAGAAACAATATGCTAGATAGGCTTATCAAGGTATGGACCTCGAACGTCTTCTACTCTTCACTGACTCTATCTACTCTTTTCCTTCACGTTATTGGCTGGTAATTTCTAATATTATCTTACCATTCCTTGCCTTCTCTGATGGCTTAGCTTTTCGGTGCCCTTGAAGCATGTGGTCGCAAGTGTCCTAGTAAAGAATATATACGGAAAGTTGAAGTTGCATATGAAATGCTTGGTCTATTAGAAGAGAAGAAGGATTTGCTTGAAAAGTACAAGGATTTGTACAATAAGCCATCAAATAGTGATAGAAAGAAAGATCGACGGTTCAAGAAGGCTGAGAAGAAAGCTGGTTAGTCCTGTGGCGCCTGTAATCCTTTATTTGCCCAATGACAGTCAAGCATTTCTGACAAGTTGAAATGGCTTGTTTCTGTTAAATACTTATAAATCCATTTCCGTGTATATGTAACCTTCTGATTGGTTTACACACACCCATTTAAGCAGAATAAGATACTGGAAGTTCAAAATGTGCTAATTCTGGAGAAATACCTGATTTAGTTTTACCCTTTATTTGCATGGTTATCTAGTCAAATTTGTTACTACTTAAGTTAATAAATAAACACCATTTATACATGAGCATGGTCTCCAGTATGCAAGTTTGACCGTTATATTTTATATGAATATGTTGGTTAAATTTTACACAATCGAAAATAGATATTTTATATTATTTTTACCTGTCAAAGTAAGAATTTGCTTGCTTTCTAAAATGCCGTCTATTTCTGAATGGAGCTAATTTATTGCACCTGGTATTCATCTTTCATTGCACTGATTTGTTAGCAAGAAAATACCAGTCATTGTTACATGGACATAGGTGCTTGGTGTATTTTGTAGTAGGATTTCCCAGTGTTCAACTCTACGCCACTTTCTTCAGAACTATTCTGAGAACCTTTTCATACCATGCTCGTGAATTTCCATTATGTTCAGAATTTTCTTGAGACATCACGCGGCAAACATTCTTGAAATTTCTGGCAGCTACTAGAAATTACTTCTTTTGCTATGATGCTGAAACTAATTATTAACAATATTATTTTCTCAGCTGATGATGGCAGCAAACAATTGGAGATGGAAACATCTGAAAACTTACCAGTTAATTCATGCCCTTCAGATAAGGAACTGGTTGCCAGCAGTGTCAAGATAAGAAGTAAAGCAATGCAGTTGCTGGCATATTAGTTTACAATTATGTTTCTCTAGCCGCTGACACTGACGTGTTATATTATTGTTGTTCCCCTTTCAGATACAACACCGATGGTGAGATCAGTATCAGACAAGAACGTGATGCAGCTAGTAATCTGTACCAGTAACACTTACTGGGCCAGCCAATAGTCCATTACTAATAGGAAACAGCATGAACATTGGAACCCCCTTATTCTTCCATAAATCATTGAAGTGCGGTGACTTTCATGTTGCCTTGGACAAATATTTCCCAGCGTTATCGTTGGCCAAAAAAGTTGTAATGTCTGAATATTGGAACAAGTGGGCGCATAGCTGTAGTCAACCAAGGGTTTACATGAGGAAACCAGTACTTTACCTCATGTACTCAGTGTGAGAATTGTTGTGCTGACATTTCTGTTTTCACACTAGAAAGCCAAATTCCTGTTATCCATCGCAATCTAATTTCTCTGCTTTTGTGGAGCTTTGCTACATTTTTTTATCCTGGTTCTGGAACTGCGGTTGATGTTTGCTCTGCGCGAGTTCGCAGGATTTTTCGTTAAAAAGAACCACCTGCCCAGTGAAATTGTCAAAAAAGACCACCTACGAGCGACAATGTCAAAAAGGACCACCTGCACCGTGGCGGCAGGTGCACCAGCCGACACGTGGCACCTGCCGCCACGGGATCTGGCGGCAGCACCTGCCGCAACTGGCTCGACCGGCAGCCTCAGCTGCACAGAATTTCGGTCGATGGCACACACAAGAACGGAACGGGCTGGCGATGTGGCACCTGCCGCCACGCTCCTTGGCGGCAGCCTGTGCTGCTTTTCACGCCAAACGGCACGTCCGTTGGTTCTTAGTGTGGCAGACGCATTGCTGGCCGTGGTGCCTCTGCCGTTTTGTTTTCTGTGCACCCATCTCTCTCTCTCGTTGCCCTGTGCTATGTGGAGTCATCTGGATTAATCCTAAATACAGGACTGACCGACTGAGGTGTTTAGTCTAACTCAATCAACAGAAAAGGCATCTGGCCAGTGCATCTCGACTAGCAAAGCGTCTGCCACCTATGGCCCAACAGAAAAGCAGCACAGGCTGCTGCCAGAGAGCGGGGCGGCGGGTGCCATGTCGCCAGCCCGTTCCGTTTTCGCATGCGTCGTCGGTCAAAATTCTGTGCAGCTGAGGCTGCCGCCTAAGCCGGTGGCAGCAGGTGCTGCCGCCGGATCCCGTGGCGGCAGGTGCCACGTGTCGGCTGGCGCACCTGCCGCCACGGTGTAGATGGTCTTTTTTGACATTTTTGTCCATGGGTGGTCTTTTTTGACATTTTCACTGGTCAAGGGGTCCTTTTTGTCAAAAATTCAGTTCGCAGAGGTTTGCTCACTCCAATAATGGTGCAAGCCTTTGAAATGGCAAACGTTAGAGCAATTCCAAGGTGCTGATGATTTTTGTCGTCCGCCCCCTTTTGCGTTTGGGTTGGCAGTGCACCCAACTTGCGGACGTGTTTTTTTCAAAAAAAATATAAATATCTTACACAGTTTTACAACCAAACAATTATATCATAGTTTACAAGACAAATAAAAATTAAATTGTCTCAGATACATTTAAGAAAAGATACATCTATTGGTTGCCAACATGAACCCACATATACTCAATCAAATCATTTTGCAGCTAAATGTGAGTTTCACAACAACGCATTTGATGATGAAATTAGGCGAACCGTGCAAACGTTGCTGCTCCTCCATGCTCAAGCACAACATTGTCACTCTGAAACTGAAACCCTTGGTCATAGATACGTTCCGGACGCTCATTCTCTGCGATCATATTCTGCATGATCACACAAGCAGTCATTACCTCCCACAACTTAGTGCTCCAAATTCTAGCAGGATACTAAACGATTGCCCATCAAGATTGCAGAACACCAAAGGCATGCTCCACATCCTTCCTAGCACTCTCTTGCTCTTGGACAAATCTCTTCCTCTTCTCTCCTACAGGATTGGAGATTGTCTTCATCAGAGTAGTCCATTGAGGATAAATATCGTCAGCTAGGTAGTATCCTTCGTTGTAGTTGTGGCCATTGATGTTAACATTGACCTTCGGGTAGTTGCCTTCGGCAAGCCTTGCAAACACCGGAGAGCGTTGAAGCACATTGATATCATTGTGAGATCCGGCCATGCCGAACAAAGAGTGCCAAATCCAGAGATCTTGTAATGCCATGGCCTCGAGTATGACGGTGCGAGCTTTAACATGGCCCCTTGCCGCCCCTGCCAAGCAGAAGGGCGGTTTTTCCACTCCCAGTGCATAAAATCTATGCTACCAAGCATCCCCGAAAAGCCCCTGCTGGCATTCATCACCAACAAGCGGGTTGTTGCAACATTTGGCTCTCTCAATTACTCAGGGCCAAACACTGCTATCACAGCCTTGCAGAACTTATACATGGACTCTAAACATGTGCACTCGCTCATACGGACATACTCATCAATGAGATCACCGGAAACTCCGTATGCAAGCATCCGAATAGCTGCAGTGCATTTTTAATAAGAGGAGAAGCCAATCTTCCCAAGGGCATCCTCCTTGCACTCAGACATATTTATCGTATGCCACCATTCCCTCCCGGATATGGTTGAAAACATGCCTAACCATACAAAAATGCCGCCGGAATAGGTAATGTTTGAAGAGCGGGTTGGGTGTCTCGAAGTAGTCCTTCCAGAGTAGGAAATGACCGCTCTCTCGGTTGCGATCCAACGCTGGAGTGTGCCCCGGGATCGAGCCCCGGAACATCGGCTGCTGCCTACTAAGGTGGTCATGGACGACCAACACAGCAGCTGCAAGCTCCTCATTGTCGGATGAAGAGTCACCAGAGTCGCAAATGAAATTGTGGAAAAAGAACTTGTCGGCGGAGTCCATTTGTACATTGCGAGCAAAACCGTCGAATAGCTTGCGGGCATCGTCGAAGAAGCTGACCGGTGAAGCGCCACGCGCCTCCTCTGGACCAGGTAGCTGGCCTTGGCGGCGCCCGACAAGCGTGGCGGCGTCAGACGAGCGAGGTCGTTGCACTTTTGTCCGCTTCAGGAAGGGCCGGGGGCACGTGGGCGAGGTGGTGTTGGCGGCGATGTCAGGGAAGTTGCCACGATGTGGCGAGGCGGTGGTGGCAGCGACGTTGGAAGGTGGCGTGCTGCGAGGGAGGTATGTGGGCGCGGACGGGTGGCCTAGGCACCAGAACTGGGTGGTGGTGGCGACGGGGTGGGGCAGCCGGGTGTGCTGGCTGTCCATGGGAGGAAGAGAATGGCCTATGTGCCACCGACTAGCGGGCCAGGAAGAGAAGTAGGCAGGCATCGCGCGCGTCCTCCTTGTTTCCGCATCGATGCAAACGAGGTCTAAATTTGGACTGGAAATGGGTCAACAGACGGATAAAAGGCGGACGCACGTTTATTTGGGCCGATTTTTGTGTCCGTTTGGCGCGTGGACAAAATGGTTGGAGTTTAGCCCGCGGCCTCGTGGAACATGAGGACGTGCTGGGACGACTGCTGACGGGAAGAGCAGCCAGGCAAGGTTGCGAGAGTGGAGCAGCAGTAAATTGATGGGTGGTGGTGGGAAGCAACAAATCGACGGGGAACAAACCTATCTGTACCGAAAGGAGACCGAGAATCAATCAGGGAAAGGAGGCCGAGAGTTAGTCAGGGAAGAAGAACAACAAGAAGAAAATCAATCTAGATTGGATGAGCTGCGGTGGCCAAGGATAAGAGAAAACCTAGGGCTTCAATATCTTGTTACGAAATATGCAACGAGCATCTTCAATAGATGATGTTGATGTAAAAATAACTAAATTCATTTTCAAGGTCCCCAAATCCCTCTTCAACAGAAGATATAGATCCACCTCACGAAGATGTAAAATACAACACCTCGTGATACAAATTTACATCTCCAACCGTCGGAGATGTAAACACAGATGCAAAACTGAAAGCCGCGCGCCAACCCGACTTCCCCCGTCGCCGGTGCCATCGCTTTTCCGCCGTCCTCGGCCTAAAAATCGGCTGCATCACCTGTTTTTTCGTCACCGCGACGTCGCCTCCAGGTTTGAGCTTCCTCCGCCGCACCGCCACCGCGGATTCGAGCCGCACATCCGCCGCCCTCCGCTAGAAAATCGGCTGCGTCTGTCGTTTTTTCGTCGCCACGACGCCGCCGCCTGATTCGAGCTCCCCTACCACCCCGCCGATTCTGGATTCGAGCCGCACACCCGCCTCCATGCTGCCGCCACTTGATTCGTGCTTCTTGCGCCGCCCCGCCGCTGCTAATCCACCGCCCAATTTGAGCCCGCGCCGCTGTTAATCCGCCGCCCAATTCGAGCCCATGCTGCTGGCCATTTGAGCTCCCGCTGCCACATTTGAAGGCAAAGGCTCGAGCGCCGCGCCGCTCCTCATCGCTCGGCCGTTGGCGCTCCTTCGGTGCTCGGTCGCTGCCGCTTAGTCCGCAGCCCGCACCACCTCCATGCCGCCGTTGAACTAGTTTACATCTTCGTTTGCATCATCTGTTGGAGTTGCACTTTTACATCACAAATATACATAATCTATTGGAGTTGCCTTTTTTTTGAAGATGCAAAATGCACTTTTTGAAGATGCAAATTTTTACATCTCCTGTTTACATTTCCAAATTTGTATCCTGTTTACATCTCCAAATTTGTATCCTGTTTACATCTCCAAATTTGTATATTCTATTAGAGATGCTCTAACGAAGTACAGATGATGGTGGCTGTCAGCTTGTCACCGCATTGGGCTGACAGCCCAAGCCCTGGCCTTGCCGGCGCTGCAAGATTGATAGTTGAACACTTGCAGAGCTGTGACCACAACCACAGCTCGCACACCCACTTGATACACACAGGGCTAAATAAGCTTAAACTCTTAGGTTTAACCTGTTAGGCGACAGCTGGTTTATGTAAATATATATATATCACTTTGGTAATACAAACTCAGTATAAGATAATGCAAACGGCCGCTCTTCTAAAAGCTAGAGATGACACTGTCAGCATCAAGAAACAACTGAGAAACTTCAGCTCAGGTGTTGCGAGTCATGCCCCTGAGAATGATGGTCTTCCAGAGGGCACTTGCAATGTTTCTGCAGCTCCAGGTACTTCTCCATGTTGAAACCATGCTTCACGCAAAGCTTTCTCCTCCTCGACTCAAACA